AGCAGGAGGAGGAGAGACTAAATACTCATCCGTCTTCATCCTGATGTTTTCCTTGCTGCTCTAATACAGTGTCCCATAGATGACCAGTGCTTAGGTAGTCAGTAAAGACCCCTCCCTCCCTCCCTCCCAAAGGAAGGGTAAGAGAAAGGAAGAGGGCACTGAACTCTGCCCTGTTACAGCGAGCGGGTTGTTTCCAGGCCGTGCACGTGGACACTAGCACCACAGGTGTGTAACACGTTGAACATCAGCTGCGGCTGAAGGGGGCTGCCCTGCCAGCCTGCCCAGCTCAGTGGTGCAGGGATTTGGTGCAGACCAAGCCCTGCTGAGGCCAGGTCAGTCTGAGACGGGCCCAGGTACCCTGGCTTGGTCTGGGCTAGATGTACTCCCTCTAGCTATCCCTGCCCAGGTGGAACTGGGGTTTATACATCTGTCCAATCCTTGTGTATGGCACCAGCAGGTCACTACTACTGAATAACTCTTGTGCCCTTTCTTTTCTCACTGTGAGTATTTGCTCATAGGACTTCAAGGCAGTTTGTGCTGCAGGTTACTATAGGCTGTGCTCCCCGGTTGCTCCGTGTCCTGGGTGAACTGTGTTAGAGAACAAGCCGCCATATAACTATACGTATAAAGAGTGGTTTGCCTGGCTGTGCTTCTCTTGGTAGGGGATGAAAAAACAGCTGGGGAAGGGAAAGCAGCAGCAGAGCTGCTGGGCAACCTCGACCGTGCCACGCAAGTTGCATCTGACAGACAAGGGAAGGTGAAAACAGCAGAGGCTGCAACGGAGGCGAAGGAGGAGACTGAGGACGGCGGCAGCAAGGCGACCAGCAGAACAGGTCAGCACTGGGAAGCTCCGCAGCTCCAGGCTTCCACTTGCCTTCCCTCCTGCTGCGTATTCACCTGCGCGCTCCCTTTCCCTCAACCATCCTGAGAAACTCGAGTCTGATGGCCGTGTTCCCACAGCCTGCCCCAAGCATGGAGGTGAATGGTTCAGACTTTCTCTTCGTTGTTTCTAGGTGTAGAGGATCCCGTGAGAGAGGAGATCCCCAGTCACCTGCCACTGGAGGACACGAAGCCGAGCAACATCAGCCCAGCTGCCAGGGGCTGCTCTTCCCGAGGATCGGAGCAAGGTGCAGATCTGCATCGGGCACAGGGTGGTGGGTGATGTTTTTGGAGCTTCCCCTCTTAGGCCCTGTTTCTTCCCCACTACCTTCCTCAGCCCAGAGGGATGGATCAGGCTGGAAGTTTCCTTGTCACCTTCACAGGGAATAGGCTGGAGCGCCATGCCACAGGAGGTGAAATCCAGCAGGGAGAGGGATTCCTCTATGCAGCCAGCGCAGGCTGGTGCCCCGCACAGTGGATCCCTGCAGCCTGAGCCATTTGGGGCTGAGCCGCAGCTTGGGTTTGCAGTTGGGAAGGCTTCGTTTTCATAGTGCAGGACCTTGCATTTGCAAACCCAGGACCTGGATGGTAGCGGAGGTGTACCATTTTTGAAAGGGGGGAATATCCCCA